ATGAAGCGATTATTTCATCACACCACAATCAGTTCCTAAATGTCAAAATTCAACCATGAAAGAGATATTCAATTAACTCCAAACCGTAGCATGCTCTATGTTGAAATCATTTATAGGGATCAGAACATAAGGTCCAGAAAAAACAATGAACACAGACAGATAAACAAATCGATGTTGTAATCTGGACTTTACTAGAGCACTTAACTAAAACCACCACAACAGTTAATTGTCAAATATATTTCACAACTGAAATTTAATTCAAATCGATCTGAATTTCGATAGAAAGAGACTTACTGAAAGAGCGAGGAAGAAAACGAGCTTGAAGGAGAACTTGCGGAGTTCTTTAAAACACACGTAGCAAAGCACTATGAATCCAGAACCTAACAGTGATAGAGTAGAGGCTCCAGAGTTCACCGCAGTCAGAACATGGCGTTCTCCCGCCGTCAAATTACCTAAAACCGCCTGAACTGTCGCCATTTTCTACCACGGCTTCTGATTTCGTGTAATGTATGATTTCAGTTGATACTCCAGAATAATTTCATTATCAAAATTATGAAATCAACAACTTCTTCGGGTAGAAGAAACAATACGATCTCACATCTTGCTTTTTCTAGTGGGGTTTTTGGACTTTGTAATCTATAATGATTAAAATGATAACAAATGTACCCACGAGATTCCATCACAAAAGTCGCTTTGGCCGAGTGGTTAAGGCGTGTGCCTGCTAAGTACATGGGGTTTCCCCGCGAGAGTTCGAATCTCTCAGGCGACGTTTTCTGTTTTTTTTGTTCTAAGTGTTATCATCTAATCTGTACTTTAATTCTAAGATTGAACCAACGGACATTTTGGTTCTCTTTTGTTTTTGTTTTTTTAAGATGTTACAAAATGATATGATTAATATCATTGGTATATTTTCTGTCTTATTTTTTGAAAAATAAATGCCTTAACTCTTATATATGTAGACCGTAGACGGGACATTAAAACAAAGGACTAATTATTTTTTAGAAAAAACAATAGACTTAAAAAAATATGCATGACAATTTTTTCCATAAAACAAAAAAGTAGTTTATAATTATGGAAGAAATCTTTTAATTTCTAAACTAATTTACCGTCACCACCACCTACGCCTCCTTCGCCGCCGCCACCATCGTGTATTTCGGTTTTTGGATTTTAGAACCCAATGAGTTCGGTTTCTGACTGGGTTCGACGTCATTATTTCAAAAGTTGGGTTGGGTCGGTTTCAAAGGGTTGGTTTTGACAGAGCAAACCCAACCCAAATCAAAGATTTTGGTTTTTAAAATTTTAAACCCAAACCCGGTGGTTTGGGTTCGGTTTCAGTTTCTCAGTTTCGGTTTTATCGGTTTTTGTCGGTTTTTGAGTTTTCGATTTTGCTCACCTAAGGTATACTAGTAATCCCTGTAATCAACATTGCCAAGTGATTCAAAGAATATTTAAGTATCTCAAGGAACCCATGAATTTTGGTTTCAGTTACTTGGGATATCCTTATGTTTTATAAGGATATTCAAATGCAAGTTGGATATCCAACATGGATGATCTCTCATCTACTATTAGTTAGTTGGATATTCATGTTTAGAGGAGATACAATTTCTAGCATCAAAGAAGTAAAATTGTATCATAAACTCAACAATGACATCTAAGTTTGATGCATTAACTGTTGTAATAAAATAGACATAGTAGCCGGTGAATTTGGTTTATAAGTTTCCATTATGGTCAAAGCCAATTACACATATTTCTATCCATTATGATAGTGTTGTCGCTTCGTCTAAGGCATATAGCAAGGTTTCTAACAACGATTTTAAACACTTGGGTGTTAGATATAACATGATTAGAGAATTAATCATGATTGATGTAATCTCAGTTAAGTTTAATAGAACACAACATAATTTAGCAAATCAGTTGACTAAAGTTCAAACCAAATACTTAGATGCATGAGTCTCTATTGCGATGGGATAAATTCCATTTAATTTTATAATGGTAACACACCCAATTCCCCTCTAATATGACATTACAAACTAAATTTAATGGGGAAAGTTTCCACTTATATATTAGAACACATAAAATCATCTTAGGTTGGGGACTTGACATTTATACAATCATGAGATAGTTAACACACATGGCTTAATAATTATGTCAAGATTTGTATTGTCTATATTAGTATAGAAGTTTATCATTTGGTATTTAAATAGGTTGATAATGTTCAATCCTTAGGACACCCCAATTCTCGAATATATGGAACACATAAAATACTAAAATACCTAGTATAGAAGTTTATGTTTGGGTATTTAAATAGGTTGATGAGGTTTAATCCTTAGGACACCTCGATTCTCGAATATTTGAAACGTATAAATTAGTAAAATACCAACATGAAAATTCAATCGATTCAAATTTTCCATTTATATGCAAGTTTTGATTTTTTTAACTTACTTTATTTGTTCATGGGTTACTCTAAAACGGGGGAGGATTGTTGGTAATTTTAATGTTATCGAACAATTTATGTAATTAGAATTAATATAAGTATCACATGGGGTTTTAACATTTGCATATAAGGTGAGTTTGATCATGAACACGGCGAAAAGGAAGGGTCAATGGAGCCTCATCCTTTTGTTGGGTACAAGGGAAGCATCCCAATAACTCTACACAACTTTGGTCTTGAAATATACTGAAAATAATCTAATTAGATTGAAGGAAAGTTGAATAAACAAGCAAATTATGGATATGCTCAAAGAGAGATCGAAGCAACTTGAGCTACATAATAGCCAAGTTGTTTAGCAACCCAAGTTGCCTTGGCCAATATGTTTGAGACATCCTAAGTCCAAACTACACATGGCAGCTATATCTAGACAACTTGAGTTACATGGGTCGTTTAAAAAAAACTAATTTCCAACTGTAGAATCCGTAAATTTTGCTGTCCTTTTCCACTTTTCATATAGATGATTACTCATTTTCACCTAATTTAGAACTTTTTTACGAGAATTAACATTCTATATACCTTTTAGAAATGTACTCTCTGTATTTCCACCTAATTCGTAGAGTGATCCTTATAGATTGTCCCAAGTTGGATTTATCGGTAACTCATACATTGTAGAATGTAGAGGAGAAATATAAGCACAGAAAGTGATTTTATATGATATGTGATTAAATACAAATTCTTGATTACCAATATTTTGTCATAGCCTAATTTCTAACGACATACAAAAAGGTGACTTCTAGGAATAATTGTATCTAGTAGTCTGTAGTTTGAATTAATAGTTGTTTCATTATTTGATTATGGTTTTAAAGTTGTGGATTGGATTTATTAAATAAAACAATCATTGATTTGTTTATTTAAGAGAAAATGCAATTTGGTACATATGAGTGCCAAAAAAATTAACGTTTCAGTCCTTACTAGGCACTGACTGAGAGGCAAACCAAGAACAAACTCGGCCACGAGGTGTTTTTACTTTGATCGAATCAACACAAATGTTGGGACCAGATCCTTGATTTGGACCGAGTCCAAGGTTGCAAAAGGGAAAACAAACAAGCTAACTTAGGATCGAGGACATGGTCCAAGCTTTGGACCTAGTTAGAAGGCAAATCAAACGACCCTTAAGTCCACGCATTTAACTCTCGTTTGAATTCACATGTTAAGTGAAAAATATGACCCTTAAGTCCACACATCTTCTTTCATCTCTCGACTATTCTCTATCTCGTTCTCATATTTCTTCAACTTTCTTTCCTCCTAGACCTAAACACTAACCCCATGCAAGTAATAGAACAACTTAATAACAACGAAAACCTTTAGAAGGTGACATGCAAGTAATTGTTGGGGTCGAAAAAATAGTAATGTGGTATTATTTATGGATTTCAGTAACGAAGAAGGCGAGACACATGGAATTGTTGGAGTTATGAAGAAGATGGAAATTAGGTTTTCGGAGGAAATGATCATCATGTGGGGTAGTGAGAGGACAAAGTGACGATGAAGATGGTTTTATAAGTAACTTTAGTAAATATTATATATATTTATGTTTTTATCTAAGTCATCATTACTTAAGTTTGGTTTTTATGGAGAATGTTATTTATTTTCATCCAAAGGAGAAACCATATTTTGTAAGGAACATTTTAGGACATGTTCTATTTTTTGACCTTTTGCAATTATTACTTAAAAGCAATAGCTTTAATTTTGATCAATGTTTTTCCATTGGTTTATTATTATGAAGAGAATATGTTTTCTTTAATCCGTCAATCATAATATATATTAAAAAAAACAAGAACGATTTAAATATTTGTTACCTTAAAAAAAACTTTTAGAGTTTTATTATGGGAAGAATCAATCTATCTCATGTCTTCCAATCAACATGTAAGGTATAAATCATATGAGTTGTTCACTATTCTCCCACTTACATCTCTTTCAATACGCAACATTTGAAAATTCATCTCACATCCCTTCCAACCCATATAATTTTATTTTGTTTTTTTAATTAAAACATTTACTAATATGAAATTTAATAAATAAAAAAAAATTAAAAATAACATTTCATTAAGAAAGAAACAAGTACAAATGTTAATCAAAATCCTTAAACAATAATTCAAATCCTAAAACGTTAATTAAAATAAACTAATTATCTAGAGTGTGTATGTAGGTATAGTCAATGTGATCAACAAGAGTTGAACGAAGTTAGTGATAACTTTATGTGTCATGTAATTCGAGAAGCATATCTTCATTTGCTTCTACATCGGTAGAGATGTTGGTATCACGAATCGAACATATAGAAATACCATCGTCTTTTAATATCATATTGTATAATATAATGCAAGAGAAAAATTATATCTATAGTGTTGTTAGTGTCTATTGAATTGAAGAGGATTGGAATGAAATTGGAGAATGTTGAAATGGAATTTGAGAGAGTTTGAGTGTAAATGAAAAGAAGTGTCGCTTTTGAAATAGTTAAGAATGGTTTATATAGATATTAAATTAAGAAAAAAATATTAAAAAAAATACAACTTTTAGATTTATAGTTGTTGACCGGTCAAAAAAATACCAAGAAGATTCCCTACAAGAGTTCGAATATCATGTGGTGAATAAATTTTTGTTCAGACTCAATGATACTCATTAGTTGAGTATTATTTCATCAATTGTCCGGGAAGTATTTTTAACTTAAAAAACGAATGATAAAATTAATCAAAATATTAATCTTTTCTCAAAATTGGCTAGCCTATAAATTTCGCTGGTTGATGTTTGAAATTACCATTTAACCTACAAAAAACTAAAAACAATTTCATTTTGGAAAAAAGAATTTACAAAATGTATTGTCGCAATATATTGCGAAATTGTGTATTGTTTTATGGAAAATCATGAATTGTTATAAAGAAAACACTTTTTTTTTTTTTTTAAATAAATCTTCAAAACAATTTTCACATCAAAAAATCATCTTATTTACCTTTTCTATGAGTCGAGTCATGAACAGTAAACTTAACAATTTCGTGTTAGGAGTAGAAAACTATTTTAAGCACTTCTCATGTTGAACGTTAATTTTGTAGGTCACCTTACCTAAGTTATGATACATAGTTTTTAATTTTTTTCTCTCTAACATCATTTAGACATTTTG